TTATTCTATAATTAACTTAGCAACGTTACCTAAACTTTATCCCTTTGTGCAACTTGTGTAACACGTGATCTGTGTAATACGTAACTTGTGTAACACGTGACCAGTGTTGGTCAAATTAGTGGTCAACTATAAATTTGCTGATCATTGGTTAAAGGGTTTTTTGGTCAAACTGGTCAGATCAAATTTAACACTAGAAATAAGCGATATGTAAAGGTTATCAGATTTGGAGCTGACAATTAAGTAAGGCTGTAAGATCCAATTCAAATAATATATCAAAAAGCTTATGAGAATTATACTCATCTTAATAAAACAAACCCTTACACTAAGGAGATTTTATTATTTGTTTGAATAATATGTCTTTATTTTATTCATTTTACAACTAATATGGTGCGAACATTCTAAAGATATCAAATGCTAAGCCACCGCTAAATTTTTAAGCGGTCTTAGATTTAATTTAATTATATTTTTATGAACAAGAATTGGAGAGTAACCTTCTGGAATAAAAAATTGTACAGTATTCCATCATTAGAATTAATGTTGACAAAGACATCAGATTCTTAAATTATTTGTTTATTTAGGAGAATTTTCGGTTGAATAAATAGTCATTTTGAATTTTCCTCCTAATGTCTTTAAACTTCCTGCATCAAATATCGCAATAGCATTAATAGCGAAAATTTCAATTTTGATCTTTTTCTTTCTGTCGCCTCTGTTTTTAGAAGTGGAATGAATTTGTTCATTTTTTACAAGTCTCATTTTAATCAATTTGTTTAGTAAGAAATAAATTAGAGTATTCAGAGTAGTGTCCAGATTATGCTGTTTAACAATAAGAAAATCGCCGAAGCATAAAATAAATTACCTTTTAAATATAACTAAGCCAAATATACAAATATGTAATTATTGAACTATAAATGTAGTTTACTATATACAAAACTATCTACGCATACTTGAAAACAGGTGTCAATTTTCTTTATTATATAAAAATAAAATTCAACAAAATAAAAGAATAAAATTATAAAATAAACTAATTTTAATTCCTATAGCATAGTAAAAAGACTATTAGCTTTTTTGACCCGAAAATTAAATTTAGCTTAGAATATTGATTTTACTTAACCTTTTTCTCCTCAATTTTTTTTTCTAAATTCGCTAAGTATAGTTGTAAAGTTTCCATATCTTGATCTTTTCTTTTTTGTAAGTCTTCATACAGTTTCTCTAAATCAGCGTAGTTGTTTTTTAACTAGTGATACAGACCGATGGAAAAATCTCGGGTCGAGGCCGGCCCGGGCCAGCCCGGGTCGGCCCGGTTGGTCAGGGCCGATCTTTTTATGAAAGATTTTGAAAGATTTTGAAAGATATTCAACCTTTATCGCACTTTAGACATGGATTGGGGAGTTATTCAATACTTTTTTCTTTGACCTTATAAGAGATTCATATTCAATGTTGTCTTATTGTCTACATTCCGAAGATTCCCGGCCGATAATTTCCGGGCCGGCCCGTATCACTATTTTTAACACACCAAGTTCATTATTTAAATCTCTAATCTGTGAGTTATATTCACTTTCATCATCTAATATTCTAATCTTAAGTTCATTATCGCTTTCTGCCAAAATAATTTTAAAATTATATTGGCTTTCCTTTTGAATGATTATTTTTTGTGAGGTAGTTTTTTATGGTTCGGGAAAGAACTTTTATTTGTTTTTCATAGTAATCACAAAGTGCTTTGGTGGGATCGCCGTTTTTGCGAAGATGTCTTGTATTTTGACTTGCAGATAAAAGAGGTATAATTAATCAATGAATCACTCAAATAATGATAAGATCATATTTATAAAAATTCATAGTGATATTATTAGTATCAAGTATTGTAAAGCAAAGACAATACAGCAATAATAGCAGAACTCTATTGAACAAAGTGAATTTATTCAAATTCAATTCATAAATGTTTTATATACTATCCTTCAATTCTCGTAAACTTTTAGCACAAGATATCACCTAGGTTTAAGCGAGACTTAACATTTTTTTTGTAAAAATTATATGATTAAAATTATTGAACAAAAATACTATAAAAACCATTTGAGCCAAAATCCTATTGATATAGAGAGAAGTTTCCACCAAATTAATATACCAGATGAAGCCTATTTGCTCTTTACCTAATTCAAAAAGTAGTGTCTAAGTTAAATTCTCTAAAGGAGAGATTAATTTTGAGACTTGTGTAATTTGCGTCCTTAAAAAGTACAAATAAGTTACTTGCATTTGAATTACATAAATCTATGACTAAAGCCGGGTCTTTTGTAAAGCTGATCCCTATTTAAAATGTATAAATTACGATTTTATCATGAATTGTATGTGTTTTTATTTTTATGTCAGTTAATAAACTATTATAATAACTACTAATAGTATAGTTCACAATTAATAGAAAGATCTCATCTTTAGATAGACCTCTTCATCGAATTCGTCGTTAATCAAGACGATTATAGATTTTAATTCTATATTTACTATGATTATTTTTTTTTGTATTAACTAAATATGTTATTGAATAAGCAATTTAACATAGCTTCGTATGAATAGGAAAACTAGAGGTGCGAACTATAAACTATTATTTATAATAAATAAACTAATAGTTTATTGTAAAACTGTAGTATGTATTAAAATAAACAATTTTGGTTTATTTAAATATATTGTACGTGATTCACAATATCAGGAAAATCATTACTTAAATCAAATTACAATATATATACCAAGGTCACAAGACCCGCATATCAAAGTTATTCTCAGTTTTGTTAATTTAAAATTGTATGTGAACTACTCCTTCTTTGAATAAACTTCTTTTACCTTTTGTTAAAATACTCGGGTGTTTTAGGATGGGTTGGGCATTGTTTGATGGGTTGGTTTGATGGGTTGGTAACTATCAAGGGGAAATTCGGAAGCTAATTTCAAAAAACGGCCCTTTTAACTTACTTGGCTTATAACTAAATATATGAATTTCGCAAACTTCTATGTACTTAATTATAAATGCAAGGCTAGTTAAAAAGGCCGGTTTTGTGAAAATTCGCACTGCAATAAATTTTAGTGGAGAATTTTTTTGTTAATACACGATCATGATTGGTCGATTTTGGGGTCAACCCAAATCGGCTGATATTGATATGTTCTAATTAACCTAATTAATTTAGATTATATAGACAGAAGAGCTTTCATATAGTGAATGTTTAGTGTCCAGACTTTTGCGATTTTAGGGATTTTTCATTGTTCAAACAATGAAAAATCCAGAAACCGCATAATTGGTTCTGATATGATGACAAATAAATATTTATAAGGACAGCAAATTTTTACTTGGTTACATCTAATTATTCAAATCTGTTTGTAAAGATTTGAACCTCAAAATATTGTACGATTTTGACCGATTAAATTTTAATATTAGTCTAATCTTAAATATTTATAGGTTCAACTTTGATTATTCAAAGAAATACGTTTATATTTCACCACCCAAATGCCCTCTAATATATTTTACAGATTTTTCAATTCTTTAATACTAGTTCTCATATCATCTTTGCTCACTATTCATCCCATTAGGAATTTTGGCTTATATTTTTAATTGGCCTTCAGGATGCATTTTCTTTTTTAATTGCTTAGCAATTATTCCCTTAGCAAATTTGTTAAGTTTTGTCACTGAGGATATTTCTTTAAAAGCTGGACCAGCTAAAGCAGAGTGATTAAATGCTACTTTTGGAAATGCAACAGAATTAATTATTTCTGTTTTTGCTCTGCGTGCTGGAGAAATTAAAATAGTTCAGTCTTCTATGTTAGGTTCGATTATTTCAAACATTTTATTAGTGTTAGGGACATGTTTTCTTACTGGAAGCATTAAGTATAAGACTCAAAAATTTAATCAAACTGCTGCTCAGACTAGTTTGAGTTTGATGACCTTGGCTTGTATAAGCTTAATAATTCCTGCTACATTTAACTTTTCTTTAAGCAATGACAATAAAGAAACTTTATTATTATCTCGTGGAACTGCAATAATATTGTTATTAGTTTACATGCTTCATTTATTATTTCAATTAAAAACACATTCACATTTATATAATGAGAAACAATTTTTTACACAAGATAGGAACAAGTTGAAGAGCCACAATTATCTCTTATATCTTCTATAATTTTTTTAATCATTATAACTGGTCTTATTTCTTTATCTTCTGAATTTTTAGTAAATTCATTTGAAGGAGTAGTAAAAACTCTTGGTTTTACAGAAACTTTCATTGGATTAATAATTTTGCCAATCGTTAGATGCTGCTAAGGTATTATTTGAATTATTATGTTTTATTTAATCACAATTATAATGTTTTATTTAATCACTTTTATAATATGAAAATTTTTATAGCATGTTACTGCAATTATCGCTGCAAGAAAAGATAAAATGAATATAGCAATTAGCATAGCTGTTGGCTCTTCTATGGTAAGCTAAGTTAATTAAACTTCAGTTTTAATTTTCTTTCTCAAAAATTATAATTCTTCATTTGCTAGCAAGTTTCTTTACTTATTACGCCAATTTTGATAATATTGGGTTGGATTATCAATCAACAAATGAATTGTTGTTTAATTCCTTTGAAACCATTATATTGTTTATTTCAGTTCTAATTACCAATTATATTATTCAGGTAACCATATTTTATCATATAAATTAGTTAATTTCTTGAGTTTTTTGACAAATTGTCATTTCATTTACTTAGGATGGAGAATCAAACGAGTGATGTTGTTGGCAACTTATATAATAATTGGTTGGGCCTGTTATCTCTATAATTTTTAATTTTGATTTAGATTATTTTTTGACAAGCATCAAATTTACATTAAAAGCCAAAGATAACTTGTATTTAAGGAATATCTTGTATATGATTATATTTTTATTAATAATTAATCTAAACTAAAATATATAGGATTTCTGTGATTTTGTTAAATTCATCAAAAATAGATCTCATTTAAAGTAACAAACAAAAGAATGATATAAATGCTTAATTACATGACCTTAAAACTACCTACATTAATCTTGTAGATTATATATTTATGGTCTAGGTGCTGAAAAAAGACCATGTTGACAATTTTTCATAAATCTTTTTTTGAGCTTAACAATCAAAATCTGTTTCTTAATACGTAAATTTAGAAATTTAACCTTTTAAAACTCATGAATTAAGTTATTCGGGAAAACCTAAGGGCATCGACATTTAATACGTAATTTTTACGAAGTTATTACTACTTTCAGGCTTTTATTAAACAAGCGCAATTTTGGTTAATGTTTCTATGTATTGAATAGAAAATTTCAAATTAAAATGATTTATAAAATTAATCAGTATTAAGAATCTGCATTAAAAACTGAGTTTATGCTTTAAATTCCTTTGGAAGCTAAAATCAATAGGTTACTTGTAAAAGCATTACTTGTAAAAGCATGATAAGATCAATTTAAATGATATATATCAATACATCTTAGTGATGTTGAAAAATATATGCATCAAGAAAGGAAATTAAGAAGCATGATAAACAAAATAATTTTATAGGATTAATGTTATATATGCCTAAATCTAAAAAAAGGCAAATCTAAAAAGTTTGTATATTGTTTTATAACTATTGGGGTAAAGAAATTGGATAATCTGTTTTAGATAAGATATTAATAACACTCATTTGCTTTAGTGTCTGAATTTAGATTTCCTGTTAATTAATTTTATTTTTTTGTACATTGAACAAATTCATTCATAATGTCTTTTTCATAGGATGGGATTACATATATATCACTCTGAGTACAAATAACAAAATTGATCAAAACTGACCATCAGCTAATGAATTAGCTAAGATACTATATAAATTTCTTGGTGATTTAAAAAATAAAAAAGCTTAAATTGTACAAGCAAGTTAAAAAAAATTGAAGACTTGGGCAAAAATTCAAATAAAGTCACATCAATACAATTTACCAGACACACAAACAAGCAATTTAGACAAGCTGCTTTTGAATTATCAACTCTCTCCAACTAATAAATGCTAATTTAATACATGCAGATAAGAATGTTCCCCAATCACAATGTTGGTTTTAAAGTATTATTTTTTCAAACTTATTAACTCTTGTTTTAGTAAGCAAGACTAAATAAATTTTGACTAATATTTTTTAAATTTAATATACAACTCTGAGGATGAATGAAAAATTGGTCAATAAATACAGTTAGACCCTCTAAATGCATTGTGACAGAACTATAAAAATTTAATCAAACGTGCGTTTAGTGAGGTATTGCCTTAGGGTGTAAAAATCTATTAGCATTATATTAGTTGGGCCCAAGTAAAGGCATGCAATTTGGGAGGTTTTTCATAGAGCGTGCATTTAGGCAGAGTGCATTTAGAGGGGTCTAATTGTATTAGAGATATAAAACTAAAATGTGTATCAACGTATGCTGCTTAGCTAAAATGTTAAAATATCTTTGATTTTATTAATTATTATGAATGGTACAATATGTACAGTATATATGAAATTTAAAAAGATACTTTACAATATTTTATTTAATTAATTATTATGAACGGTACAATATGTACAGTATATATGAAATTTAAAAAGATACTTTACAATATTTTATTTAATAGTTTTTCAATAGAAGAAAATTATTGCGTCTCTTAAAAAATTATATAAATATACCTAAATCAAAATTAAGATCTTCATTTTGTGTAACACGATCTTGTGTAACCATACGTTTTTCAGGGGAATGCTAGGGTAGTCCTTTTGAGTAGTCTTTGTTGTGATTTAGGTTATGAGAACCGGTGACCCCGAATCCACACTTTTATAGCATAAGCGCTTACAAACATGATCTAACGCTAGATAAAACATGGTCTTACTATGATTCTTACTCACAATAAGATACATCAAGCATGCATGTACGCCACTTATTTGCCATTATACGCTTATTGTTTTTAATGTGTTGCCTATAAAGTACGATTACATATGAAAATTATGAGTATATTGACAAATAAAAACTAGTAAATATTAATAATGGTAGAACGACTAAAAACGTGTTACTTTCGCTATTAAAATTAAGATTACAACCAAGCTTTATTAAAATTTGCAATCCCTTCTATTGTTTAATTCATCTTTCTAAGTTGAATTATAAAATTTTAATATCTAAACTTTAAATGTATTTATCACTGTTGAACTCAGAAAACTCTCACTACAGATTTTGAATAAGGTTTAGTAATAAAAATTTCTTGAACACAAGAGATAAAAATTAGTCATAATTTTATATTAAATTTGAAAATAGTTCACCCAACACTTAACACAATTCATGGATTTACCAACTGCTTGGAATCTCGATGATAAATCTACTTATTTGAGCGTAGATTCAAGCAGACTTAGAGTGAATTATGAAGGTGGGACTTTAGTGATGGGTAAATAAATTTCATGCGCATGAAACTTTTATCTGCTTTATTCTAATACAGGCTGACTGGCTCAAATTATCAAAAAATTTTGTCCATAATCATGCGCATATTGCACATCACTAGTTGACAATTTATATACACGGTAAATGATTTAATATTTCTGATTTAATACAATTTTTCTTTAAATATATAGGTTCGGGCAAAAAGTGTGAAGTAGGTGCAATACGGGCAAATCATCCAATTCCTCTGCAATGCAAGTTATTTTATTTCGAAGTTGACATAATAGACGAAGGAAAAAATAAGTATGCTGAAATATATTTTTCCATAATAAAATAAACTCGTTTAAGTTTAATTAAAATTCTTTATATCTGTTCAAAAGAGCAATTGGGATAGGATTTTGTGAGAAGACGGTTAATTTAAATAGATTTCCTGGTAATTAATTTTATTTTTTTGTACATTGAACAAATTCATTCATAATGTCTTTTTCATAGGATGGGATTATGGCTCCTGGGGTTATCACGGAGATGATGGCAAGTCTTATTGCTGTTCGAGAAGTGGTAAACCTTATGGACCGTTGTTTTCTACTGGCGATACCATTGGATGTTGTTTAAACTTTACAAATAACACTGCATTCTATACTAAGAATGGTATAAACCTAGGTAGTTATTGCAAGGTTTTTATGGTTTTTTCGTTATATAATATGCATATCACAGTATACAGTTTAATATTTGCAAAATAAATTTCAAGGTATTACATTCCGAAATTTAAAAGGCACCTTATATCCTTGCGTTGGATTGAGGTCACAAGGTGGATCTATAGAAATAAATTTCGGTAGAAGAAAATTTAAATTTGCAGGTAATGCTGAATATTTATAAGCGTATTTTTGTTTGATTGTAATTTAATACTGTAATTCTTTGTAAAATAGCGACTACTAGTAATGATATGGGTGATGAATTATTGAAAAAAAAGTGGATTGATGCATTTAATATGTGCATTAATGTGACGAATAGATATACGCTTGGAGATTTAGAAAATTCGCTGAAAATCAATCAAATTACTGCTCTTAAATTTCGAGGAAAATTTAATTGTATCATGGAAAGATATAATGAAGCAATTATCGATCTGACAAAATTGCTTAATATTGAACCAAACAACAAATTTGCACTAAGATATCGAGCAGAAGCCTATTATCTGATGGAAAAATATAAAGAATCATTCAATGATGTGAACAAATTATTGAAAATTGAGACAAATGATGAATGGGCATCAAAACTTTTACCAAAAATCTTTGAAAAGTAAGTTATTGTGCTTTATGCGTAATGATATTCTCTAATTAATTATATATTCGTTGAATCAATAGGGAGTAAGCAATAATATTTTTTTTTAATTTTATTTATACGGTATAAACTAAATATATAGACTTTGCTCAATTAATTTTTGGTATGTGCATAACGTTTATTAAAATTAATGTTTTTTGTCAAATTACCCTCTAATCAACTATAAATCTGTTAAATAACAGATCGTGAGTGTAAATTTTATTTCATACGTCTTTAAAAATATGCTTTTTATTTAGAATTTATCCTAATCAGTTACAACCGTTAAATTACTAGCTTATAACTACAAAGTCCATGTGTTGATGAAACATATGAATTAGGATATTTTTATCTTCGCGGAATTAGCGTTGAAATGGATGAATATAAAGCGTTCGCTCAATTCGAAAAATCTGCTAACATGGGGTATATTGAAGGAATCAATTGTCTTGGTTATTGTTACGAATATGGAATAGGAGTTGAAAAGGATGAAAAAAAGGCATTCACATATTACCAAAAATCAGCAGATATGAATAATTCTTACGGAATGTATCAAGTTGGTTATTGTTATTATTTAGGAATTGGAGTCGAAATCGATAAGCATAAAGCGTTTACATATTTTCTGAAGTCTGCTGAGGCAGGTAATTCTATGGGAATTCGGAAAACTGCCATGTGTTACTATTATGGAATTGGTGTGGAAGAAAATTTTAATAAATATAGTAAATGGAATAAAGAGTAAGTTAATTTTTATTTTTTGTTATGATGTTTGTAGTTTATTTAAAGCAGGATTTCTTACATAATTTTAATTATCAGGGAGTAAGCATGAAATACATTTTTATTGATCTATTTCAGCAATTAATCTCATCAATACGTATTTTGTGTTATTTTAGCCCGTAAGTGTAAAGAACATTTAATAACTTTACTATATAAAAACAGCAAACGAGTTCACAAACCAAGATCATAAATACTTATTTACCTTTACGTACAATTTATTTCATTCACATTAATCATTTCATTCAGCTTGTGAGTATAAAGAACATTTAATAATTTTACTCATAAAAACAGCAAAACAAGTTCACAAAGTAATATCATATATACTTATTTACCATTACGTAAATCGCATTAATTTAGCTAGTAAGTATACAAAACAAGATCATAAATACTTATTTACCATTACTTACAATTCATTTCATTCGCATTAATTTAGTTAGTGAGTATAAAGAATCTTTAATAACTTTGCTGCATAATAACAGCAAAACAAGTTCACAAAATAAGATCATAAATACTTACTGTATTTACCATTACGTACAATTCATTTCATTCGCATTAATCATTTCATTCAGTGAGTGAGTATAAAGAACAATTAATATTTTACTACATAAAAACGGCAAAACAAGTTCACAAAGCAAGATCATAAATACTTATTTACTATTACGTACAATTCATTTCATTCGCATTAATCATTTCATTCAGTGAGTGAGTATAAAGAACAATTAATATTTTACTACATAAAAACGGCAAAACAAGTTCACAAAGCAAGATCATAAATACTTATTTACTATTACGTACAATTCATTTCATTCGCATTAATCATTTCATTCAGCACGTGAGTATAAAGACATTTAATAATTTTACTATATAAAAACAACAAAACAAGTTCACTAAACAAGAACATAAATACTTATTTACCATTACGTCAATTCATTTCATTCGTATTAATTTAGTGGGTGAATATAAAGAACATTTAATAAATTTATTACATAAAAACAGCAAAACAAGTTCATCATAAATACTTATTTACCATTACGTACAATTTCATTCACATTAATTTAGTGCGTGAGTATAAAGAACATTTAATAATTTTAGGCCAGATCAATTAGATTCTCTGTTTTACATTACCCCCCAGCGTTCTCCCCTCCCTCATAGTAAAAAACTTATATAGGGCTTCGGGCTAGTTCGGAAAATTTGATATAGTCACGGAACAATTCGGAAAATTTTTTTTGAAAAAAAAAAAATTTTTAAATTTTACTATGTAATCCCCCTCCTCCGGGGGGTAATGTAAAACAGAGAATCTACTTGGTCTGGCCTTACTACATAAAAACAGCAAAACAAGTTTACAAAGCAAGATCATAAATACTTATTTACTATTACTTACAATTCATTTCATTCGCATTAATTTAGTCAGTGAGTATAAAGAATCTTTAATAATTTTACTACATAAAAACAAATAAAAACAACAAAGCAAGTTCACAAAACATGATCATAAATACTTATTTACCATTACGTACAATTCATTTCATTCGCATTAATTTAGTTAGTGAGTATAAAGAATCTTTAATAATTTTACTACATAAAAACAACAAAACAAGTTCACAAAACATGATCATAAATACTTATTTACCATTACGTACAATTCATTTCATTCGTATTAATTTAGTTGGTGAGTATAAAGAACATTTAATAAATTTACTACATAAAAACAGCAAAACAAGTTTACAAAACAAGATCATAATTACTTCTTTACCATTACGTATAATTCATTTCATTCGTATTAATTTAGTGGGTGAGTATAAAGAACATTTAATAATTTTACTACATAAAACAGAAAACAAGTTCATAAAACAAGTTGATAAATGCTTATTACCGTTACGTCAATTCCATTTTATTTAGCCCGTGAGTATCAAGAACATTTAATAATTTTACTACGCATAAACAGCAAAACAAGACAAGCTTATTTACCATTACGTACTGTACAATTCATTTCATTCGCATTAATCATTTCATTCAGCACGTGAGTATCAAGAACATTTAAAATTTTACTACGTATAAACAGCAAAACAAGTTCACAAAACAAGAACATAAATACTTATTTACCATTACGTACAATTCATTTCATTTGCATTAATTTAGTGAGTGAGTATAAAGAACATTAAATAATTTTAAACATAAAAACAGAAAACAGGTTCACAAAACAAGTTGATAAATACTTATTTACCCTTACATACAAT